CTTCTTGTTCCAGTAATTAACAAAACAAAATAATTTTCAAATGTTAAGTGAGGCAGTATTTAATTCACACATTATTATATGTCTTGTCTTACTTTGTAAATTATGCCCCAGCTATGCATAAATATGATGGCTTTCTCTACGATGGGACCAGTTTTTGCAGTTAAAGAAGTGGCACTGGTTGTGAATTCAATTTGAATCAAAAGTAAAGGACTTAGTGACAACATTCAAAGTCCTAAATGGCCCAGGACCTCAATATCTGAAGACATGCCTCTCCATGTATCCATCTTCTTGAGGACTGAAATCAGCTAGGAACTTCCTCTGTATCCACCAGAAAGTATAATATACTGCAATGGGACATAAGACATGTGGCATTTCACTTGCAGAATAGTCTCTTCCCTTGCAGGCCTGATTGGCAACAAAACTGTTTTCATTCTGGTGCCAAGTAGTAACAGAGCTGCTTTCTAAACTAACTGAGACTGAATTGATGTCATTCAAATTTTTCCATGTATAGGCAGTCTCCAAGTGACAAACAAGATAGGTTCTGTAGGTTTGCTCTTAAATTGTATTTGTTTGTAAATCAGAACAGGTACAATTTTTAAGGGTAACTCCAGCCATACATATACATACGCAGACATACATATGTGTGTATGTGTGTGCTTTAAAAGTTACAATATTTTAAAAGGAAAAAAATATTTTAAAAGGAATTCTTTTCTGTAGTCTGGGAGACTATACTAAAGGAGCTTATTTGCAAAAACAATGTTGCAAAAACATCCTCGTGGAGGGCAAATTCCTCCCATGAGACAAAATATGATTCACGAAAAATCACGCCCTTCCCCTAATATGCACATATTACTTATTTTGACAGGCATTTCTCACTGTCTATCAAAATGGATTACTTTGTTTTAAGATGCGCTATTAGCAATCAACTGAACAAATCATCTTATTAATTATATCAAGACTAATAAGCATCAACAGGTATTTCCAGTGATGACATTTATGGTTTGATTGGCCTTTCTGTTTCTTCCAGTTTTCTTGATTTTTGTTATGTGTATGTATTAGGGACTATTCTTGCAGCAACGGTGATTTTGTTTACTTTGCCCTTGTGTATTTAATTATAAAGGGATCGGGATATTATTTATGCATATGTAAGATTACCAATTAAAAATATAAATAGAACAATGCATATTTTGCAATTCCATGATTTTCAATAACCAAATAATTCTAACTTTAAGCTACCTTTGCAGTTATTGTAATTTATTATAAAGATTATTCGTAATTGCAAAGGCATATTAGGGGAAGTACGTGCTTATTTTGTGTGATTTTCTTTCTGGCTTCCTGCTGTTATACAATGCCACACTTCTTCCATACATTAGAGCAAAGCAATTTGTGGACCAAGAACATTTGCTTTGGTGCCCTACAGCAGACTCACCTGCAGTAAGACACTACATTTCAATTCTTTCTTCCTTCAATGACTTTACTTTTTCTCCATCCTTTCCACTATCTCAGTCCTTGCCTATCTCAAGCATTGACCAACAGATCAGACTTCTTCAGTATTGTTACCATGTGTCTGAACATGCCAGCCATCATCAGCTAACAATAGCACATTTTTTCTGCTGAAATTCAGTAGATTTTTTAATTTATCTCTCTGGTATCCAATTATACATATAATACAATAAAATTTGCTTTCTATCTATAAAATTTGTGACACTACTCCTTTGACCCTATGAGCTTTCCACTGCTGAATCAAAGACAAACAAGACTATATATTTAATGCATGCAAAACTATAGAAATAGTTATTTTCAATATGTTGATCGGGGAGCTTTGAGTCGCAACTTAATAGGATAAGCTGTGAGTTTGACTAGAATTAAAAATTCAAGCAAGCTGGTTAAAGTAAAGGAAGAGTCCTTTGGACGTGGGAGATCAAAAAGCTAAGGAAGGCAATTATGGAGAGAGGCTGGATAAAAAGGACAGATGTTCAGACAAGTAATTATGGTAAGATGGGGGGGGGGCAACTTGAAGTGCTTAAAGTCAGAAGGAAAAGTGAGAAAGGAGTATCAGGAAAGAGGGTCAAGGGGTGCTGGGACCTGATGAAACGGTGGGTGATGCATTGAAGGAAAGGGCCCAAAGAGAAAGTGGGCTTAAGGATGCATCTACATTGCCAAATTGTTGGAATCTGATGAATTTTAACTGCCATGACGCAAGGCTTTGGAATAATGCCATTTATAGTATAGTGGGGCACCAGTGCTCTTTGGCTGTGAAAGCTAAAGACCGTGTAAAACTATAGCTCCCAGGACTCCATATCATTAAGCCACCGCAGATAAAGTGGTGTCAAAATGCATTACTTCTACAGTGTAGATCAGGAATGGATAAACTTTGTCCCTCCAGGTGTTTTGGACTTCAACTCCCACAATTCCTAACAGCTTACCAGATTTTAGGAATTGTGGGAGTTGAAGTCCAAAACACCTGGAGGGCTAAAATATTCCCCTGCCTGGTGTAGATGCACCCTGAGAGAGAGAAGGGGAGGGAGGGAAGGAAAGAAGGGAGGGAGGAGGCAAGGGAAGGTACTGAAGGCTATAATATTCAAGACCAGAACAAGAGAAATCTGCTAGCTGACACTACTGCTGTATTTTCAGCACTGAGACCCAGAATTCCAAAGGAGCGACCAGGGCCAAGGCAAGAAACACAGAGAAACACTAATGTGACCAATCTTTGGCTTTTAACATGCATTACTAGCTGACATAAATCCTACAGAGGAAGAACTGTTTAAAGCTACAGACAATGCGGTCGCTGTTGCCTGTCTGTGGTCAAAAAATATTTAGCCGCCTGGGCTCCTTCTATTTTTATCAGTTTTATACTTATTTATGCAATGCTTTTGATACGATATAAATAAATCCTGCAATCTGAGGAACAGAAACCAAGATGGAGAAAAATGACTGAGCCACAGAGAAAGATATTAGAAGGAATAGATGCACTCTTTTCTGTGAGGGGTGAAATGTTTTCTTCCTTTTCTGACGGGAGGCAGAAATGAAAGCAGTGGAAAAATGCAATTAATTTTCTTGCTTAAGAATGAGCACAACCTGTTCTAAGGAGAACCTGGTCTTGGTTAGTGAATGTTACCATGTGGCAGGAAAATAAACTTGTTGCCATTGAGTATGAAATGTGTCAACACTTCACAATTTACTCGCTCCTATTCCACACAGCCACAACATTAAGAAAAAAACTCACCAAAATGTGCTTAGCTTAGTTGTCTCTCTATTCAAGGCCCAGTTAAAGTTGTAGAAAACTGCATTAACTCTACAATGTGGATGCATCGCGTGTCAGACCACAATCTTTTTTCCAGGTCAAGTTAACTCGCTGATATGAACAGGAACTTATGTAGCATTTTAGGTACAAAAGATTTCTAATGTTTTGAACTTTTAGGGTTTGTATGAAAGGTAAAGTGGGATATAAATACAAATAATAATAAGTATGGATTGTCAATGTTGCAATCCCAGGTGACAGCAGAATTGAAGAGAAACAACTGGAAAAGCTGACACGGTACAAGGATTTAAAGATCTAACTGCAAAGACTCTGCCACAAGCCAGTCAAGGTAGTCCCAGTGATCGGCACACTGGGTGCAGTGCCTAAAGACCTTGGCCTGCACTTCAACACAATTGGCGCTGACAAAATTACCATCTGCCAGCTGCAAATGGCCACCTTACTGGGATCTGCATGCATTATTCGCCGATACATCACACAGTCCTAGACACTTGGGAAGTGTCCAACGTGTGATCGAATACAACAGTCAGCAGAGTGATCTTGTCTGTTGTGGACTCATCTTATTGTGTTTCAAATAATAATAACAACAACAATAATAATAATAATAATAAACCCCTGTGCCAGCAGGACTGAAGACCGACAGGTCGAAGGTTCAAATCCGTGGAGAGCACGGATGAGCTCCCTCTATCAGCTCCAGCTCCTCATGCAGGGACATGAGAGAAGCCTCCCACAAGGATGTTAAAACATCACAACATCCGAGCATCCCCTGGGCAACGTCCTTCCAGACAGCCAATTCTCTCACACCAGAATTATAATAATGTGTATTTTGCCTCAACTTCCTGGTGACTCTGGTACTATATGGGCCAGAACAAGCATGGGCAAGCTTGTGCCACTAGGTGTTTTGGATTTCAACTCCCACAATTCCTAACAGCCTCAGGGGAAATAGAATGGACCTGAGACTGTTAGGAATTGTGGGAGTTGAAATCCAAAACAACTGAAGGGCCCGAGCTTGCCCATGCCTAGTCTACACTGTTCAATAGTGGAACTCACTGCCTCAGTGTGTGACCAGAAGCTATGCCAATTGTGTACAAATGAGCTGCCTTTTGCGAAAGATACAGAGTGCATTGAATTGCCTCAGGATTTAAGCATTAGCACGGCAGCTGTGGCCACTCAAGAGTCCCCAGGAGGTTCACAGTGAGGGAAAAAAAAAACCAGGCCTCTGCACAGAAACTGGAGGATATATCAGGATGCAGGCCTTGATCACGTGACCCAGAGGCCTCAAGGAGCCCACAGTGCCAACATCGACCAGCGGGGAAAGGGGGGGGGGAATATCCCTCGACAGGTAAGAGAAACAGCGGCAGCCGCGCTCTCATTGGACACCGGCGCTGCCCATCACCCATAGCAGCGCCCAGCTCGCGGGCGGGAGCTACGCCGTCCAATAGGGAAGGGGAAGGTGGGCGTGGCTAAGGCTTCCCGGTGGTGAGGGAAAACAAGATGGCGGGGCTCGCTCTCCCCTGTTCCCCCCCGCGCTCCCCGCTTAGGTTGTCTTCCTCCTTCGCCTCAGGAGGCGGCGCTTTGGAAAGTGAGCCTTGCCAAGTGTTTCGGAAGCGGGCCGAGCCTGTGTCGGTCCCGCCAAGCCCTTCACGATAAGTCACCTTCCCACGACCCTGAGGGTATTATCAGAGAGAGAGAGAGAGAAGGGGGAGAGGGAGAGAGAGTCACGGATAAAGCGGGCGCTTACTTGCCTTCCTGGGCCGCTGCCTCGCCGTCTGCCGTTGGCGCCGTCGCTGAGGGAGGGAGGGGGCACAAAATGTCGGCTCAGCGCCGCCCCCTCGTTGCCCGCAGCTCTTCGCCCGCTCTCCTCAGCGGCTCCTGTTGCAGGGCAGGAAAGGGGGAAGGCGGCAAGATGGAGGCGGCCGTGGGAGCAGCAGCAGGAGCGCCAAGCCCGGCCAAGCGATGGAGGGAGAGAGCGAAGGAGGGGGAGAAGGAGGCGGCGAGGGAGGGGGCTGCTCCTGCTACTGCCGCCGCGCCGCTCCCTTTCGCTCCCCCCCCCCCGGGACAGGGACCGCCCCCCCTTGCGTTTCCTCCCTGGACACGAGTTTTGGAGGCCCCGGGGGTGAGGGCGAGGGGAGGCCGAGGTAGGCGACGCACGGCTGGAGGCGCCTCCCAGGTGCTCCTCTGTTGCCCCGGGAAGCCCTGGGACTGACTGAGTGGCTGCCTTCCTTGAGGGGCAGTGGGAGGGAGGCAGGGAGGGTTGACCTCAGTGCTGGCCCGATGAGGGAGGGAGAGCCGATTCCCCAGAGGACAGGATCAGCCTACAGCGCTGCACCCAACTCCACAAAATGGACTTCAGCAGGGAGAAGTGTATCATCCACACCAGGCATGGGCAAACTTCGGCCCTCATAGAGTTGGAAGAGACCTCGTGGGCCATCCAGTCCAGCCCCCTGCCAAGAAGCAGGAAAATCGCATTCAAAGCACCCCCAACAGATGGCCATCCAGCCTCTGCTTAAAAGCCTCCTAAGAAGGAGCCTTTGTTGCACTCCTGCTGAACAGCTCTCACAGTTAGGAAGTTCATCCTACTGTTCAGGTGTTCCATTGTTGAACAGTGTAGAGCAGGGGTCCTCAAACTGTTTAAACCAGGGGTCCTCAAACTAAGGCCCGGGGGCCGGATGCGGCCCCCCAAGGTCATTTACCCAGCCCTCGCTCAGGGTCAACCTAAGTCTGAAATGACTTGAAAGCACACAACAATAACAACAGTCCTATCTCATCAGCCAAAAGTAGGCCCACACTTCCCATTGAAATACTAATAATTTTATATTTGTTGAAATTGTCTTCATTTTAATTATTGTATTGTTTTAAGTGTTTTTTGCACTACAAATAAGATATGTGCAGTGGACATAGGAATTCATTCATATTTTTTTTCAAATTATAATATGGCCCTCCAACAGTTTGAGGGACTGTGGCCTGGCCCTCTGTTTAAAAAGTTTGTGGACCCCTGGTTTAAACAGAGGGCCAGGTCACAGTCCCTCAAACTGTTGGAGGGCCGGATTATAATTTGAAAAAACATTAATGACTTCCTATGCACACTGCACATATCTTATTTGTAGTGCAGAAAACACTTTAAAACAACACAATAATTAAAATGAACAATTTTAACAAATATCAACTTATCACTATTTCAATTGGAAGTGTAGGGCCGCTTTTGGCTGATGAGATAGGATTGTTGTTGTGTGCTTTCAAGTCATTTCAGACTTAGGTTGACCCTGAGCAAGGGCCGGGTAAATGACCTTGGAGGGCCGTATCTGGCCCCCGGGCCTTAGTTTGAGGACCCCTGGTGTAGAGGCTGAAGTGGAAAAGGAAAGGGCCTGAGGCTGTTAGGGATTGTGGGAATTGAAGTCCAAAACACCTGGAGGGACAAAGTTTGCCGATGCCAATAAAATAATAATAATAATAATAATAATAATAATAGCTTTATTTTTGTACCTCTCCTCCATCTCCCTGAAGGGATTCAGGCCAGCTTACATATGGCACAAAGTGCCTAAAAACAACGCATAAAATATACACACAGTACAATACAAAACAACAGTACAATACAACCTTGCAGACTGAAAGGTTGGCTGTTCGAATCCAGGGAAGCGGGGTGAGCTCCCATTGTTAGTCCCAGCTTCTACCAACTTAGCAGTTTGAAAACATGTAAATGTGAGTAGATCAATAGGCACCGCTTTGACGGGAAAGTAACGGCCCACCATGCAGACCACATGAACTTGGAGATGTCTACGGACAATGCCAGCTCTTCAACTTGGAAATGAGCACCACCCCCCAGAGTTGGAAACAAAACCTTTACTTTTTACAATAGAAAAAAGTAAAACCAATAGCACATAAAAACAGTTATTTAAAACTCAGAACAACGCCCGATAACCTGTGGTGACAATAGCTGTAAGACATGGCCAAACTGTAAACAAGACAAGGGAATGAAATAGTGCAAACTGTAAGGAACCAATGCATGGGATGAAAGTGCAGTGCTGTGTCATTAATTGCGGACCATTGGGCTAGAAATTCTCAAAAGCTTGTTTAAACATCCAAGTCTTCAAATCCCTACTGAAGGAGGACAGTGTGGGGGCCTGCCTAATCTCCCTGAGGAAGGGTGTTCCAAAGCCGTGGGACCACCACTGAGAAGGCCCTCTCCCTCGTTCCCACCAACCGTGCTTGGGATGGTGGCGGGATTGCGAGGCGGGCCTCCCCAGCAGATCTTGATTCTAGCGCAGGTACATAGGGGGTATGCGGTCACAAAGATAAGTAGGGCTTTATAGGTAAATAACCTGTAGTTTGAATTGAGATCAAAACTTAACAGTAGTCAATGGAGCTGTTTTAATAGGGACATTGTGTGTTCCCTATCCTAGGCCACACTGCAACAGTGGAACTCACTGCCTCAATGTGTGGTATAGGTTTTTAAACAAGTGGGATGGCCATCTGTTGGAGATGCTTTGACTGCTTTTTCTGCATGGCAAGGGGTTGGACTGGATGTCCCATGTGGTCTCCAATATTATGATTCTGCACTTGGGTGAGAAAAATGGAAACATGTACCTCAATGTCACAAATAATAATAACAACTTTATTTATATTCCTCCCTACCTCCCCAAGGGGTCTCAGGGCAGATTCCAACAAACAAAAAGACAAGCATTCATCGCTTCGATAAAACAAACGTTAACGAGTAATCCAAAATAACCCCACATATGAAAATAACATCAGAACCTAACATCAATAAATTAAACAAAACGTATGCAAACAAATTTATATGACATAAAACCTAAACAGTAAAACATCTGCATTGATTTACAAAAAGCCAACCAAAGTTTGCCAAGTTTGTTATCCACCAAAATGGGAGGGATAATGAATATCCCAGAGGATAGGATCAGACTCCCAACAGATTAGAGCGCTGGGCCCAAATTTCACAAAGTGATCCTCATCCGGGGGAAATGGATACACTTAAGTGAAAATTGAAAGGTGGGTGTAGCGTACCTCGATGATGCCAAATTGAAAGGGTTAGGTAATACTCCAGGATCAGAATCCCAAACAATCCTAACAGATTAGAGCGCTGAGCCCAAATTTTACAAAGCAAACATCAACTGGAGGAAATGGATGTTGTTTATTCATTTACTCGCTTCCAACTCTTTGTGACCTCATGGACCAGCCCACGCCAGAGTTCCCTGTCGGCTGTCACCACCCCCAGCTCCTTCAGAATCAAGCCAGTCACTTCAAGGATACCATCCCTCCATCTTGAACTTCAACAGGAAGGCAGTTTATAGCCCTATATGTGTAACAGTTGTGGAATAAATAGTATGCTATAAATTGCAACTGACATGAGTTGTGTCTTCAAAATACTGTTGCACTGTTATTTTCAGGAAGCAACCTATTTCTGGTTTGATACTATAGTATTTAAAGGGCTAGGCATCCACTTAAATAACCTGAAGATACTAGATCTCATCTAGTCCTGGAACCTGGGTGGTCTTTTGTTGAGAAACAGCCAATGAATACTGTGTGCAGTACGCAGTATTTTAGAGGAAGGAAATGCCTAAACCACCTCTTGAGTATTCCTTGCCTACACAACCCTATGAAATGCATGGAGTTGCCACAAATTGAGAGGTGACTTGAAGGCATATTGACACACTCACACAGGGCTAAGCAAAGGACTAGAGTAACTGTTTTTCAGACAGAGCTGGGCTTGTCCCTCATGCACTGACTTCTGTTAAATATAATGTAACTGAAATTTCTTGTGAACCTTCAGATAACTTAATTCCAAGGGATTTCATTCCATTCAAGAAAAAAGATGGTTTCTCAGTGTTACCAGCTTAAGAGGGTGTTCTTTATTTCAGAGGAGATAGAAAATCTAATAATACTACTTATTACATGAGAAGCACATGGAAAGGTTAGAACTTCATCCTTTTTTATATACAGTAATATGATCAGTGGCACTTCCTTGCTATACGTGAGCACAACCAGGTAAAGATATGGGTGTTCTTTCTTCATTATATGAATCTCCAGTGCCTGTATACTGAAGGACAATAGACATGCTGATTTGTTGATATTTTTCTGAAATACAGGTGGATCAATTATTTCCCAAATGTCCAATTTTGGCAAAGGTACTTCAGTTCGTAAACTGTACAGCTTGAACTTTTTATTTAAAACCTCCCAAAAACAAATCTTGGATTTTGCCAGTTTATATAAGAAACACCAATTTACTATGGTATTGTATATATTGGGACATGAGCATCCACAGATTGGGGCAGGTGTGCTCTGAAACTAAACCTTGGCATTTACTAAGGGCTTGCTGTACTTAGAAATAGTTTATTTTACAATTATTTTTAGCAGCCACAAAGCTGTAGTTAAAAATGTTTCTATGAAAGTTTTGAAAAGGATAAATTATCTGAAAATGGAAATGAATTTCTCATTTTTAAAAATGATATAGCATTGAATTGGCAGCCTAGATTTTTGGTATTTGAAGATAGCAGTATTAAGAACTTTCACAGTCCAATAGGCTGGCAGGCTCAATTAGACTTGGCACACTATTCTTCATTTGTCTCAAATTGGTTACTAAAATTCATCACTCATTTGCCTCCAAAGTATCCAAGATAGATTACATATAGAAACAGTGAATCAGTCCAGTTCTATAAACCATACTCAAAAGATGTCAGCTGAAACAACACTAAGATCTTTTGAGAATATAGAACTGGGCTGATTCGATGCATGCAAAGGCAAGAGTATCATACGCTGTAAGGACAAATACTTTTAAGTATTTTTACTAACACGGTGAGTGCATCTATACAAAATGAATTGGTAATATCCAAGTTGAAATCCAGTTATACAAGCGTTTGAAGCACCACTGGCTTCTTCATCAGATAACGATGTTTCAAAACATGAAAAAACTGGCACTGATGTTAGAGTCACAGAATTCTATATTGTCAAATGGTACATGTTGGGCATCAATTATCCAGACATGGAAAATAATGCAAGAGGCTGTGATAGTGACATCCTTGCTTATTGATGGTTCAGTATACACAGATGTTGTTCCATTCACAAACTTATTACCAAAATGGTGTATAAAATGACCTGGTTCCAAGAATTTTCAGTAAGGAATACTCAATCTGTCTTATGAGTTTTCAATGCAGAGTCCACTCCCCTCGTGTGACTGTGTGGTCATCCTAAGGCAAACCTCTCACAGGATTTTCATGACCAGATTTCTTTGCTTTCCTCTGAGGCTTTGACAGCGTGATTTATGGTTGCCCAGTGGATTTCCATGGCCGAATGGGGATTTAAACCCTGGTTCCCCAGAGTCATAATCCAATACCCAAAGTACTTCACTACCATGATTCTTTAGTCTCCATTATCTTAATAAAACCAGTGGAAAGTTATCACGCTTGTGTAGGTAATTTCTGTTTAAGCTATCAGGAATGAAAATTCCAGTAGAATACTTGAAACCTGAAGGAAGAAGTAGTATGAAGGGGATATAATGAAACCATATCTCAGGCAGAATATAAAGATACATGTTTGAAGCTGAGATACTTTCATGGGTAAGACGAAAAGTTATATGGCCCTGGAACAGCTTCCTGAGTTTCAGTTCTTTTGGGATTGTATTTTGTAAAAGACAAGAAAGGTTGGGATTAGCATACTAAATCCAGTATCACCATTCTGTATATTTCAGTGCAGGCAGAAGGACTTCTTGGCCTATATGCCACAAAACTACCAGCACGCTGTTTGTTGTGGTATTTGAAAACTAACAAGGCTGTTGTTGCAATTTAGTTGTTGTGTTCAGGGGCCAATCCTGGCGTAAAGGAGCTGTGTGGCAGTCTAATGCATTTTGAGCAGTTCAACACTTGGGTCAGGGGTCATTTTCTGGGTGGAAGAACTGTGAGGCATCTTGATTTCTTTTAATGGATGTTGTGCTGGCTGTTCTCATTTTGTTCCAATTCCCCCCTTTAACAAAGTGGAATTATACATATTTCACAATCTTTAATATTACTCAAAGGCCAGGAGATGTGACAAGGTTCTAAAACAGAGGATTCGTGTACTGGTTATAATAGGGCAAAGTATCAGAAGTACCTAAGATAATCCTTCTGTGATTTTAAATGCTAATTTGGTACAATTGCTCAATCAACTCCAGGGATACTTCGAAAGCAGGAGTCAACTATTTCACTGGGTCTGAGGACCAATTGTGAACTGTGTGCCAAAAGTTCTGTTGCCAGATCTTAGCAGAAAACTATAAAAGAACATCAAAGCAAGGGTGAAATTATTTTTTTATAGAATGCTTCCTGATTTGTTGCCAGACTGGGGAAATAAATAAGCCCTTTAAAATGTATGCTGGACAGGGAAGCATTAGCAGTCTGTAGTCAAATTTGTAGTTTGCATGTTTCAGTGGACTCTGAGGTACTAGGGTTAGAACACCACAAGGATTTTAACCCTTCCCTCTGCTATCCAAACCTGAAAATATATATTTTCGTATGAAGTTGCACTTTAAAAATGTACCTGTTCTGACTTACAAACAAATTCAATTTAAGAAAAACTTAACAGAATCTATCTTGTTAGTAACTTGGAAACTGCCTGTATTTAGAATAGCTTTTAACGGAGTTACAACTTGAAAATCTTTTTAAATTACTGTGTTTTAGAAATAGATGTATAAAGTATACATTTTCAATATCTGAAATAATCTAAAATTCAAAACTGTCCACATGGGTGATTAAGGTAGTTGATACTATTATTTTCTAAAGGTTCAATATACACAAATGTTTTGTGTATTGGGTCCACAAAACTGCTGCTTTCTTCAGTAAATATTTGCTTTATTTTATATTAGGGGGTGTCTGTTTTGTGATATAAATTATGATACAAAGTTACTTATCTGTAGGACACAGAGGAATAGTCCAGAGATTATAACTAAAAAGAGAGTTGTAGCTTTTTGAACCACATTGAGAAATGCATAAGAAAGAGGAAAACACAACACACAATTTATCATAAAGGTTTTTAATGAGAAGCATATCAATTTTTGGCACCAAAAGATGTTACTTTAACAACTTCAGCTTCATACGAAGGTTGAACTTCCTTATATATCCAGTGTCCTTTTATTCTATGTACATAGACCTTTTCATGCCGGTTACTATTTACTTCTTGTTGGAGTCAAACACTACTGTTTGTTACTTAGTGGAAAAGGTGGTCCAGAATGGAATATGCCAAAGTTTACAGCGTCATACCACTCTTCCTCTTGGAGTCTTTCCGTGCAATTGGACTGAATGTTAGTATTTCATTGTAAATATGCCCTTGAAAGAGAAGCAAAGGTATGATTGTATTTGCGTTCGATGAGCACTGAATGTTTCACCTTTTTTAGCTTATTACATTTCACATGTAAACATGAAGATTATGCTTAATAATAAGTGACTATAACAAACATTCAGATATGTAAAAGATTGTAATATGGAACATTCTGAGAAATCTTGAGTACAATACAACTGTGGAACCAATCTGCCTCCAGAATCAGGAAAAAATATTATACATTAAGGTTAATTTATAAAGTAAAAAAAAGTGAAGAGAAGAGCTAATAAATTCATAGTGGAAGACAGGTATATATAGCCAGGCATAATTTGCATAGCAAATTCATTGTGAACATCTGGGAAAAGTGTATTAACAGACTGAAAGGAAATAGATTTTATTTGGTGCAAAAGGCTGGGGATAGGAATCATGCAGTCCTCTGGTGCTAGACTATATATCTAAGCAGCCATAGCACAGCAATTGGTTAGGGATTCTGGGAACTGCAGTTCAGCCCCACCTGGAGGGTAACTCGAGTGATTCTGGTATACAAAATATAAAAAGAAAGCTTGATAAGGCCATACACAAAACTGTTCCAAAAGAAATTAAGCTTGTATCCTAAAAATTGAGTTGTGGAAGGAATCTGAAAGAGATTTGATGGCTATTTTGCAACAGTAATAATTCAGGCAAATCTTATTTCAGGACTGGAAGTCCCATTTTAGTCTAGATATGTGAGAGTGGATCACCTACTGGCCCACACAGCCAGTAATGAAAGTTGAGCAATTTGCAATCGCTAATTTCCTGAAGTCTTTTGTAACAACTGAGTATAGACATTTTGTCTCTTTAAAACTTTGGTTTAATTGCACCATCTTTTTACAGGCCTATATATCATATAGCTCTGACATACATTCCTCTTTGATCCTGTAAGTCTAAATCAATCAGCTTACAGCTCCTCCACTATCTTCATATAGAATATGCCACAACTGCCAGAAAGGTGTGTCCATTTTGCAGGCTAATGCAGACAACACACAATGCAATTCACATATTTCTTAACTCCAACATAATGCTATTGAAAATCATGTGGCATCAAAAGAGGTAGTTTACATACCATATTACTTACAGTATGTAAACTGGAAATGTATTTAGATCTGTTCATTAAACACATCTTTTCATTTCCCTCTGTTTTTTTTATTGCAGATATGAATAAATCTTCTTAATTTAGAATCTAGAGTTTGACGGCATCCTTTGGACAGTCCAATAATAATTTATCTCATAATCTAAACTGCTTCCTCACTTTAGAATGAGGGAAATATGAACTGAATGCCACTAGCAATGTAGAGTCCTTCTATGAAACAACATAGAAAGAAACCCCTGGGATTGCTCTTACCTAAAGAATTAAAAGCCTTTTGAAAGAGTGTAAGTAATAGAAATTTAAGAACTAATCAGTTTTCTTGAGAAATTAAATTGAAAGGAATCAGTTTTATCCTGATACATTTCCTGCTCATTCTTCTATGTGCTTTATCTTAGGGATGTCAGAGAACTAAAAGTTTGACTGTAAGCAAGCCTTTACACAAAGTTATCAAGTGAAACTTACTTCTCCATTCATTGATTGAAAGTTTTTGTGCCCCAATGGAGTCATCATAGGAATGATGTGCCTCTGTCTCTTCCTCAACATCTCTAAACGGTTCAAAATATGGATGAGCCAGAGCTTGTGTGGCTGTAAGACGCTTCTCCACATCCAGCTGCAACATTTTGTCAAGCAGGTCCACTGCTGCAAGAAGGGAGATTAATATTGCTTAATATGAGCAGAACAACAAGATGTGGAAACGCATCTTTCAATTGTTCCGATTTGGCAGAGTTAGTCCTGATTAATCTCCTTTCACTTTTCAGCTGCTTTGAACACGCCCTAGCTTCTCTCATCTCTTATTTTTCTGCTTTATTTACATCATTTGGTGCAAACTGAACTAAAAATGCAAAAACAGATTGCCCTCAATTCCCCAGAGAAAAAAGAGAGGGAGTGATCAAAGTTTGTCCCTTCTATGTCATCTGAGGTAAAAGCAAACTACTGCAGACCTTCTTAGGCCCCTTCCAGACTGTTCAGATTATCTGTTTATCCTAGGTTATATGACAGTGGAGACTCATACAGTATAATCCAGTTTAAAACAGATAATAGGATCAGATCCTGGGATATAGAGCAGTGTACAAGGAACCATAGAATCACAGAGTTGAAAGAGACCTCATGGGCCATCCAGTCCAACACCCTGTCAAGAAGCAGGAAAATTGCATTTAAAGCACCCTTTTGAATTAATGAGGAAGTGTGTTCTTCATCATTAATAACTTTTTCTGTCTTGACTGCACTCTGATGTTGCTCAGCTTCTCATGCCCCAGTTTTCATCTGTGAAATGGTGGTGGATATTTAGTTAATTTGAATTTGAAGAGGACCAACCCTACAGGAGGCAGGCTCTGAAGAGAGTCTCCTGGATATTGTTCCTGACATCCTTAGCTGTTCTCCTCTGTTGGGGGACAGAATTGTGTAAACCAGTGCCTCTTCAACACTGTTGTTCCAATGGTTTCAAACTCCAAGTCCCAGAAATCCCAGCCACCACAGCCAATGATCAGGAATTCCTGGAACTGAAGTCCCAAATATAGATCAAAGTTTGAGAACCATTGATATATGCCACACCACTTTCCTGGGCCCCTAAATTAGCTTATTGTGTCTTACATCTTTGTGTGGACAAATTATATTTTGATTAAGGTGTTTCAATTGAGTTGCTAGCATTTTAGTTGTATGAAAGTAGGGCCACAAATAAACTTAAAATGTATTTTTAGAGCACTCCAGTGCATGCCTATTAGACATTTCACCCTGAGTCCGTTTCTAGCATTTATGCTGTGATCCATCAAATTTATCTGTTTGTTTTTTACATTTATGGAGTAACATTACTTGTGGAGTGATTATCCTTGGGACAGTTAATTCACATGGAGTCTGAATTTGCAAGCAACATCAAGTAAATACTTGAGAGAAGAAAGAATGAGTGAAACAGCAGGTCACAGGCAGCAGCAATTTTTGTGAATATGGAAGCTGAAAATATAGTTATCATTTCCACAGTAATTGTGGGTAAGATGGATCATATACATACCTGGGAAGAGAAATACAGTTATATAGATTCTTTAAAACACAAATACAAGTTATAGCAAATTTGAATGTATTTACATCTTTAAAAGGACAAAGTTAAAGACTGAATATATAACAGCATGCAGTTACTGCATGTTTTAAAATCTCTTCACAGTTTAATGCCCTCAAGTGAGTGCAAATGAAGTAAGTTTCAACTAGATGAAGGCACCACACTAGGCTTGGAAAACAGGAACACAGGAAACCCGTTAACCCATCATTCAAGACAGCTTCCTTCTCAGTTTTATTTCTTAATCCATTGCTTTTTTCAAACACTGCAAATGCTTCTTTTATTCTCATCTACATCCATTAGAATAGGTTAGGTTCTAGAGCAAGTCTGCACAACCTGTGGCAGATGTTTGGGCCTCCATCTCCCAGAAGCCAACTATTCCAATGGCCAGAAATTCTGGGAGCTGAAGTCCAAAACACCTGGAGGGCTGCAGGTTGTGCAGCTCTAGAGTCAATAGCTGACATGCAGACCTCACAGTGTTCAAAGGTTCTGGTGGCCCACTTTGCATGAAGTATGTGACATAAAGCCATAACAAATCAGATGATTTCTTCCATTGTTTTATGTTGTTCTTCTAACTTGTTGCTTTTTTGATCAACACAGCTCACTTAGCTTTGACTCTATGGCCAAGGAAAGAACATCTATAAAGAATATGGGTGTTTGTTTTACATTAGAATAATATTTTAAAGAAACCTTGTTTTAGTATGACTGCAAGATGGAGGTTCTTACAATTAAAGGTATTAACTTGGGGTTGGAAATGTCTCAACCAGTCCTAGATGGGCTTACACTTTCCCTGAATTACTGTGTTTGCAGCTTCAGGGTGATTCTGGATTAATTTCTCCAATTGACAGCCCAGATAGATATGACAGCCAAAAGTGCTAACTATCAGTTTTGACTAATATACTAGCTAAAACTAGAGGATCTGAAGATGGTAGTGCACACATTGATAACCTCAGCCAAAATGATTAATCAGGCATTTATGAGTGATCATATTATACCTATATTAAAATAACTTCATGAGTTGCCAATGAGTTGGTTGTTACCTTGAAACCCTTCTCCCATTTAACCCACCATGAGATACAGAGCCAACCTTAAGAAATGGGGTACAAAGTGGAGTCCATGACATGCGAGTGTGGAGATGAGTAAACCACAGACCACATATTGCAATGCAGTCTGAACCCCGTCACATGCACAATGGAAGACCTTCTTATAGCAACACAAGAGGCACTCCAAGTGGCCAGCTACTGGTCAAAGGACATTTAATAGAATTCCAAGTTTGCAAAATTTGTGTGTGTGTTTTTTTAAATACAACTGTTTGGTTCGCTCCCGATACAATAGATAAAAAATAACCACATCCACTCAGGTCTTCGGAGTGGGGGGATTTACTTCAATCAGCCAGGACCAGGCTGGCAATTGCTAAATTACTTTCATCAGCCACCCTCAATTTGTGGAATGACCTGCTGGAAGAGCTCTGACAACTGAACACACCATCTGCATTTAAAACTATTAAATACTGGCAGGCCTAACCAGATAGTTTATAAATTATTAATTCTTTAACGTGTCTGCTTTTCAAATTTTATGTTGCTGCTACTGCTGATGATGATAATTATCATCATTATTACAATCATTTTCTACACCATTCTGAGGAATATGGCAATGGGGGACAGCCTGGAACAAAAATCATACCTTTAGTGTCTGTTTTATTTGTAATACGAAACATCACCCAAAGTATGATTAAATGATGCTAGCTGATTTCAGTGGAAGATAAAAAGGGCTTAGTATTTTTTAACATGTTGATCTATCCTACAATGGTATGTCATCAGGATTCATGAAACAGTGAAGCAATGAGCTAGAGGACAACTTCACAACAACTTACCGAGAGGACTGGCTCTGGGGAAAAGTCGGGACAAATCCATTTTGGGAATCTTGGGCATTGTCTGTATGTAGCTTTTGGCCTAAAAGAAACAAGAACATAGATACATTCTCTGGCTGGGAAATTAAGTGTTAATATTAAATAATATAATGGGTTGCTGTAAGTTTTCTGGCTGTATGGCCATGTTCCAGAAGCATTCTCTCCTGATGTTTCACCCACAACTATGGCAGGCATATCAGGGGTTGAGGGATCTGTTGAAAACTATGTAGAATGTCCAGAGTGGAAGAAAGAACTCTTGTCTGCTTGAGGCAAGTGTGGATGTTGCTATTGCCACCTTGATTAGCATTTAATGGCCTTGCAGCTTCAAAGCCTGACTGCAACATTATGCATATAATGTTCAACGAAAGCTTCATACGAACATTTTACTTCATTGTAGATACATTAGCTTCTTTCTGGGAATGTCTATTACTAGGATGCACTAATGACCTCACATGCTCTTATTACGTTGCATCTGTTTTGCTGTTATTTCTCATAAGTTTCCTTATATTATGGCTGGGGAACCTAATTTCATGAATGCAACAGGCGGAAGGGACCAAAAGGAAAGAAGGAGGGCAGCAAGTGCAGAATGGTTCAACCTCTGGTAAGGAGCATCTATCTTCTCAGCACACTACTTAGCAGGGATGAGGCTTTTACACTGCACACTTATAGTAGAATTCCATTATTGTGGTTGCATGCTACAGAATCCTGGGGTTACTAGTCTGGGAATGCACAGGATCTCTGTGCCATCCCAGAGAATTAGAAATACCCTTTCCTAAAATGAAGAGCCCAGGATTCCATTGGATGTTGCCATGGCAGTAAAAGGAGATTTATGATATTGCTGAAGGCTTTTACTGGGGTGTTGTGTGGTTTCTGGGTTGTATGGCTGTGTTCTAGCAGCATTTTCTCATCTCAAGGTGCCAGCCATAGATGCAGGCGAAACATCCGGAGAAAATGTTTCTAGAATACAGCCATACAGCCCAGAAACCACACAACACCCCAGAGATTTATAAAAATCTGTGTTTCAAGCCAACATCTGCATTTCACTTGAGATTCATTTATCTGGAAAGAAATCAGATATCTCTTTGTGTGATCACTTGAAGTGTGCCCCAGCCACATCAGCCTCCTTTGCATGATACTAATCACAGCCCCTTTTCTATTTTGGTAGTACAATCTCCTGTCTCTGTGTGGGAGGGACACTGCATCTTTCCAGATTCTGTAGAGAACCTGCAATGCTCAGTCTTCCTACCTTCCAGCATATCATGTAGACTTCACCCATTAAAATGTTCTCTTTTGTACTTTTATTAAAAGTATAAAAACCTTGGTTGCATCAACACCTGCAAAATAACTGGTTCTTTTCCTCAATCCCAATCCTGCTTAAACACATAATGTTCCCCCAGTTTCAAAGTGAAAGTCGTTATTTAAGATGCATGACAACTATCTTTTTTTAAAAAAAAGATAGAAAAAACTCTTTTTAAACATATATGTGTCCACCACCACAATTCAGAATAGAGTGGTACAGGTTCATGTGTGGTTCCTTCAGCATCACTGTTCTACTTTTTAAAACATTCAGTGTATATCTATGCTATTTAGATGTTTGGGATTTTCTGCTTGCTGACATGATGGTGATACTATTAATTAAATTCAATTAGACTTTAATCCCAGGTTGTAATAAAGACACCTTGGATGACTGAGTGTATCTGCATACTGGAATACCCAAAAGTCTGAAATTCATACCAATGTTTGTGAAAATCTAAACTCAATGGAAATCTAATCCTAGTTAGTAAAGATGTCTTGGATCAGGTTGCACTTCTAAACCATTTACTTGGAGAAATGTGAAGTTGTCATAGGGACATATATCCAGCAAAGGGCCTGAGTGAAAACATGAATGCTCAATGCTCCTGCTCTATTATTTATTAAAAGTAAGGTTTTATATGTACCTACAAAAAAGTAAGTGGGAGATTTATGTTCAGATAAGAGGGCAGAGGATTATTGCTGGAAATCAATCCTGTAGTAAATAGATTGAAAGAAACATGGGGAAAACTGGGCTATATTTTTGCTGGATTGGGTCTGATTGGTTTACAATTTAGCTGTTCCTTTTCACACACACACCCCAATCCTGTTAGTCTTCTAAGGACAACATGTCAAGAACTTCTAAACTGAATGAGAAGGCATTCAATTTTCCCAAGACACACGCAGAAACGTTTATGCACAAAGAAGGATGTATATGTTGGGAAACTGTGTGGCTTTAAAGATTGATTTGAGTTTTGGGGAAAAAATGTAATTTTTTTTAAAAGATCAGTTTTCAGTGCAAAGTATTTGTATTTTTCTTACTGCTTTGTCTTCTAGTTTCTGTATAAATTCCTCTCCAGGGCTCCCTGTTACTTTCAATATCAGAGTCAGCTGATCAAGATCTGGCAGACTGAGTTAAGGTTTATCAACAAGGGACCAAATTTTGGAACCAATGGATTAACAAGCCTAGGTAGTAAACATTTCCACAAATTGTATACATTTTTTATGCAAGGAGACTTGGGGAGCGTACTGGCCCCGTCAGTTTTATGCCTTTTGGACAAAGGGATAGCAAATCTTTCCCGTTTACTGATTTTGAGCGAGGCTATAATCCACAACCATTTCCTTGGGAATAATTCAGAGAGTTGAAAAGTATCTGTTTAAATGGGAAATTCTAAGAGAGCAATCCCAGTTTTCAGATCTGCTGGCTGACAGGTTAGAATAGTAAGGAGGTATTCCTATGCTAGTGGAAAAACATTCTATTAGTAGATTGATGAATTCATTTTAAAATACTGAGATGCAAGCCACGGAAAGCTCTGCAGTCATAGAACTGCTCTCGGTCCAGAAATAAGAGTTTTTGGAAGAAAGAGGTCACTTTGGATCCATTAGTACAAAGCCCATTCAGGAAACTCCAGGATTTAACCCTTAACTATGCCAGTCTTGAGTTATTGTAGTTAATTTAGTTTCACTAGGAAGAATTACCCAACAACAAGAAAAACCCTGATGCTACCCTAGCTCAAAGGTGGGCAACACCAATTCCTCAGGATGCTGTAGAGACCTCTCCCCCATTGTACTTGCTCCCTGAGGGTTCATAGGGGACACAAAACTAACCCCACGGGTGGCATGTACTAAGTGGGCAGCAGCACATGATACATGTTTGCCCTAGCAGATAAGGATTTTTGGAAGGAGGAGGAACCATTAATTTTCATACATTTTGTGTTAGTTTAAAAGAGACCAAGCATACATGTCAAGAACAGTATTTTCAGATTTTAACGTAGTAACATATTTATAGATAGTGTCTATAATAAACTGTTGTAGAAAGTACTACTGTATGCCTGTTCCCACAAGTATTTCTACATTTGTTTTATACATTGTTTTAGGCTAAACATTGAGGGCATTGGCCTCAAACATTCACTTTTTTAAAAAAGAAAGCAAAACTATTGTATTACTTTAGTGGGTTAAGAGTCTGTACCTCATCATAGGAGGCTGTGTTTATTTGGTATTGGTTGTTTTAAAATTATTATAATTATATTTTAAAAATTAACACGGTACAATTGCATTGTTACGATACAAAGCATCTGAATTATTTTTGAATTTTGGCAACTGTGTACTTCTGGTGACTGTACAGTTTGAAATACTATTTTTATCAAGTTTTATAACAATGCAGAATTAGCCAATTGAAATGCAGTTCATGTTTAACTGCTTTTAATGATATATATTTAATGCTTACACATGCTCTAGTTTATTGTCTAATTGGTTTATTACTACCTAATCCCCATTTCAACATTTAATTCTTTCATTATAAGTTTACTGTTATTATTGTACATTGTTTTGTATTATTCCTGATGTTGTTTGTTATTTTGTAAGGCATTAAATGTTTGCCTGTTTTTGTATTGTAAACCACCTGAGCCCCTTTTTAGGAGGGAGGTAAGGTCTAGAAATAAAAGTTTTTTAAAATTGTTGTTGTTGTTGTTGTTGTTGTGACATTGACTTTTCTCAGCTCTATACTCCCCCACCCTTGCCCCCATCATACACATAGCTTTATACAATGCAGCTCTATCAATTCTCTTTCTTTTAGTTATTCTTATTTTTCCAGTACTTGTAATTCTTGTGGCAAATTTTCCTAATTGTTCATAATTTTTTGGTGGTTTAAATTCGCCATTATTTCTGCACATGTATCTAATATATGGTTTGCATGTATTTTCAACCTCAAACATTCCTTTAAGAACTTCATAGAATCATAGTATTGGAAGAGACCACATGGGCCATCCAGTCGAATCCCATTTTGCTTTCTTCCCAGAGTCAGCAGATCAAAAAGGATACAGTCTTTCCCCTTAAACAGAGTTTTTCCTGTCAGCATTTCTGCCATGATGCAGCCAACCGACCAGATGTCCACTGTTTGGGAGGAAATGTAAGACACACATGAGAAAAAGCTTAATGTTCAGGTTTGGAAGCAGGCAGAAAACACCTCACTGATCTTGCAAAGTTGCTAGAAGTGTGCTTGTTAAAAATAGCTTTGTTATTATTAGTATAAATAAATAGCGTAATAGCGTGATTTATTTTTGGAAAAAATGTACGGGCAGTCTGTAAGTTACAAACAAGATAGGTTCTGTAGGTTTGTTCTTAAAATGAATCTGTAGATTTTGAAAATTTTGGCTTGCTATGGAATCAAGGATTGGCAATAAAAGCTTCAGCTGAAATGCCTTTTCCCCATGATAACTCTTTCAGGAGTAAATTTCCCTTCCTAGGGTTAGATTTCTCTTATTTCCTATTATCTCACCCCTGTCCTTAACTATGAGTCATTTGTAAGTCAAATGTTTAGGACATAATAATAATAATAATAATAATAATAATAATAATAATAATAATAGGGAAGTTTTCAACTTGGGGTTTTGTGATACGAAATCCAGCATATAGATCTTGTTTGCTGTGACATACTGTGCTTTTGTGTCAGTAAAATAATAATAATATAATACTTTATTTCTACCTGCCACCATTTCCCAAAGGGACTCGAGGTGGCTTAGAAAGCACTCGTAATGTAATAATACATACAGTGAAATAAATACAGATATACCAATATCAAAGAAAAACATAGTTAAGATCATCAATACATAAAACAATACCACAATAAAATAATCAACTCTAAAATACACATTGATAGAATGTTACGGTAATTATAGTCATAAAATAAATATCAACTATGCTAGCAGACTCTTAGCCATTGGTATTTTATGTCTGCCTATACCAGAAGCAGTATAACAGAATATATTGTATTAATATAGAAGAAGAAAATGCATATAGAAACATCAATTGTGGTCAAAAATCCATCTCTAAAGAGAAGAGTTTCCCAAATGGGCGAAGAAGCAAAACAACATACCAGTCTGATTGTAATGCATCCAATTGAGAATTACTTCCGGTGCTCTGTACCAACGAGTCACCACATAACCAGTCATCTCGGTATCTGTATGCCTTGCCAGGCCAAAGTCCAAGATCTGCAACACACACCAGTAAAGTGATGAATAACATTTTACATTTCTGGATTACAACTCCCATAAGTCATTGCTAGTGGTCAATGTGGCTGAGAGATTCTGGCAGCATGAGTCTTGAAGAGTAACATAATAAATAATTAGGGATCCACTCAACAGTCCTGTTGGCCTGCAAGAAGGGACAGTCTATTATTTTCTCAAGAGTAGTCTATTTCAGCCAAAACTGTGATTCCGTTTAGACTCTGCCATCACTACAAATAATGGGGTGCTTGATTATTATCATTACACTGTTTCTGCAATGACGAAATCTATTTTTGAGCTTGCCTTTGAAGCTGGCACAATGAAACTTTTTCTGAAACTGTGTCAATCTCTTTCAGTCTATGTAACAGCAAACTTGTCAACAGTTGGTTTGGCAACAGCCATTCCAAATGGCTTTCAGACCCAGCTGATACAAACTGAGGATAGAAATGGCATGCAATCCTAACTGCCAGCTATTCCTGTATTCAGAAATACAGAAATTGCGGGAAGAGGCCATTTTTGCTGGCCCTTTGGAATAGAGACAAGGGTCATTGACAATAGTTGAAGGATGGAGCGAAAAGGGGTGTTTCAGCCTTCTGATAATACCGCTGCTAAATACTAGTAACAGTTGCCTCACTTCTAAATCCCCCAAACTCTTTCCAAAGACATGTTGCCTCCAGAATCCCCGCTGGATCCACTTCCTCTATATCTTCTTTTTATAATGACTGTACTTGGATTGATTTGGCCTAAATCAGGCTAGATTATTCATATAGCAACTAAGCAGCTGGTATCTCTATGTTGAACAAATAATAGAACTTGGTTAAAAATGATTTAGTATGTTAATGACTCTTTGTTTTTATTTAATATCCAGAAAGCAATTAATCTTTCACAAAATGGAACTCTTCAATACTCCAGCAATCTCTGTCTCTAACTGTCTCCATCCAAATCCTAACCTTGTTTGATCCTCATCCTCCTCTGTTTCATATCCTCATCCTAACAGGACATCTTGCTCACATTCTCTCTCCTAGTTACAGATGCAAATTGACCCAATCTTCTGCCTCAGTCTTTCTAAATTCATACACTCTACTATGCATCATATAATCATAAAACTTGGAGGAGGGAGGGACCTCATAAGGGCTACCCAGTCTTATCCTCTGCCATGAAGGAATACACAATCAAAGCACTTCTGACAGAAGGCCATCCAGCCTCAGTTTTTTAAAACTCTAGAGAAGGAGACATCACATACTCAGAGACAGCATATTCCACTCCTGAACATCGGGAAGTTTTTTTCTTAAGGTTTAGGTGGAATTTCATTTCTATACTTGTGCCTTAGGTTTTGGAGCAGCAGAAAACACACCTGCCCTCTCCTCAATATGACATTCATTCAAATATTTAAACATGACTATTATGACAGCGCTTAACTTTTTCTTCTCCGATTTAAACATTCCCAGCTCCCTAAGTCACTTCAGGCTTCTAGACCTATTACTGTTTTGGCTGACATTCCCTGGAAATGTTCCATCTTATCAATATCTTTCTTAAATTGTGATGCCAAGGACAGGACATCTAGCAAAATGCCATTCAGTGCAGAACCACAAGCTGCAATATATCTTATTCCCATTTCATATTCTTCCCCATTCCCCTCTGAGTTGCTTTTGTGTGTGTGTGTGTCAGAAGTGACTTGAAAAACTGCAAGTTGCTTCTGTTGTGAGAGAATTGGCCGTCTGCAAGGATGTTGCTCAGAGGATGCCCAGATGTTTTACCATCCTGTGGGAGGCTTCTCTCATGTCTCTGTATGGGAATCTGGAGCTGACAGATAGGAGCTCACCTTGTCTCGCAGATTTGAATCGCCAACCTTCAGGTCAGCAGTTCAGCCGGCAGAAGGGTTTAAGCCATTGTGCTAATGCAGCTCCTCTCTGAGTTGCTGAGTTTGCTGAAGCCACTTGTTTACTCCCAGACTCAGTGCTGACTGGGGGTGGTTATTTTGAGGCTCAGGTAGAAATTTTGGCTTATTTGGCTGGTCTTTTAAGGAAATAGTGTGGGAGGGATATTGTGACAACTGGTTTGGGTGACTTCTGTTTTAAAGAGTTGACTGCACAGCAATTAGTGCAAGGGGAGATGTTTAATAAATTATGAGTGCCCTAAAATGTATAGTGTAAAAAAGATGTCTTCAGACTTGATCTTCAGGTTGTGCAGTCCAAGGGTGACACAAGGGACTATCTTTTGGGGCTAGCCACAGGCAGGTCTCCCCATTTGACTCATGGGCCTTCAGGATGGGGTCACTGGGGAAACTCTCCTTATTTATTTATTTTACTACTGGCCAGTTACATGCTATTGGCTATGGCTTGGAAGCTGGGCTGAGCTAACTTATCCACAGCTGACAGGGGAGGTAATCCAGAGGAATTTTGCATTATGCAAAGTCTGCACTAGACAGCTGCCTTTGAAAATGTCATTATAAATAATTGTGCAATTATTTATACAATAATTATATTGTATAAATAATGCACAAAATAAATAATATATAATTTACATATACAATATACAATTATATTGTATATTGTATAAATAATTATAGATGCGTCTGTGCTCCTAACCACAGACTCATCTGTGTCTAAACCTGCTGTTTCCCAGGGACTAAGCAAATACCTCTGCCTAGGAGACACCATCCAGAGCAGTGAAAATACCATTAGAAATCATGATAATATATAATAGATACCCACAGATCTGCCTTTTCCATGAAGGTATACAGCTGACACACCAGTCAAAGACGGGCAAAGGCTCTCCTGGCCACAACAGCAGCGTTGCCTCGAAGAGCCAACTCAAGCTACACTGGTCTTTCATAGGGAGAGCAACCCCACTGAGAACAGGTTAAAACCCCAATCCTGGATTTTCTACAGACCAGCAGAATTTCCATCGTCTCAATTAAGCAACAGTCTGTTTACCCACATCCAGTCCTTTACACACAGGCAATGTTCAGGTGCCACCACAGCTTCCTTGGCATCAGTTGTAAAGGAGAGATAAAGCTGGGTATCATCAGCATTCCAATAACACCCAACCCAATGCACCAAATGACTTCTTCCAGCAGCTTCATGTATATGTTGAAAAGCAATGGGGATAGTACTGAGTCATGTAGAACCTCACACATTAATGGTCAAAAGGCTGAACAGCCCCACATCAACACCTTCTGGAAATGTTCAGCTATGAAAGCCTAGAATCACTGCAAAACTATGCCCCAGGTACCATATCGGCCAGATCTCCAGGAATATGGTTGATGGCATCAAATGCCACTGAAAGATCCAGTATGTGAAATAGGGACTCCACACATTCTCAGCTTCAGAAGAATGCAAATGTACATCCTCTTTGAATAAATCTTGGCAAGAAACCCCATGTATGATCAGACTACCTGGACTCAATCCGATTTCAGGTCTGGTTATGGGACACAGTAGTCTAGGAAATCTGTTTCATACATGGGGTTTCTTGCCAAGATTTATTCAAATGGGATGTACATTTGCCTTCTTCTGAAGCAGAGGGAGTGTGACTTGCCCAGGGTCACTCAGCAGGCTTCTATGCCCAAGGTGGATTTGCACCCTGGTCTTCATAGTCATTGTCCAATGTTCAAGCTTAAGATACTTAAGTTAGTCATTATTAAATTAAGTCTTATTTTTTCAATAAGTCTGCTCCATATATGACAAAGATTAGTTCAATCTATTTAAATCAGTACTTAAAGCAAGCACAGATAAGAATAGATATTTGTATGCTACTCATTCAAAAGGACCTTATCAGGCTAACAATGCAAAATGCTACTGCATATGTCAAAAAAACAGCAACCTACCTTTAGTTCACAGTCCTCATTCACTGCTAAATTGCCAGGCTTTAAATCCTATGGTGTGAAAGACGCAGGGAGAAAAAAAAAATCCAAAAAAACAGGAAACAATTAAGCCTGCAACAGTAATGCCATCACAATTTCCTTCCATTTTGAAAACGTATGTTATAAAACCTAGGCTTTGGCAATCCTGCATCCCTTCATTAGGAGTAAGCTTCACTGGAAGCAATGGAATTTACTTTTGGGGGTCCCAAGGAGAGGGTAACAGAGGGGAAATGATGCTGGAAATAAAGTATTTAAAACGTGAATTATTAATCATTTGTATTAATACATGTATTAACAATTTAGCGTGTTTTCTATGTGTGGCTGAAGACTAGCTACAGGGCCTTTAAATGCACTGGTGGGCATAAAGGTCTGCTTTGCCATGGAACAACCTGAGCCTGGAAAGGTTTGTGTGATTGTTTTTTAATATATTTATATCCCATTTTATTTCATAAGATTTCAGGAAAGCATCAAAGTAAAATCAGTTTCAGCAAATTAAAATAATTAAAAACGTATTAAACAATTTAATAATAATAATAATAATAATAATAATAATAATAATAATTTTAGCAAGTTAAATATAGTTTAAGGGTTTAGAAACCATTTAAAACCATGTACATAGACGTTTGGGAGTAAATTAATTAAGGCCCAAAGGTTTTAATGAAGAGGCATGTTTTTATTTGCCACCAGAACAAAGGTAGTACTAATGAGGCTTCCAAGGAGAGAGCATTCAACAGTTGAAGGGCAACTGATGGTAACTTCATGATTTTAATACAGTTTTCTTGTATAAAAAATACACACAGTTGGTTGGCCATTGCCTTCCCTGAATATTTTATGCACCTGGAATTAACCCTTCCTAAGGTAGTTCTTAGGCAATAACATTATTCTCAGTGTTTCTAAAGGACCAAACAACAGAGATTGGGAATGCTGGGATTCAGGGCCGTAGCCAGAAAAAAATTTCGGGGAGGGTTGACAATTTCGGGGGGGGGGAGATTGAAAATTTCGGGGGTGGGGGGTGGGGTTGAAACCTGCCTCCTAGCTCACGCTGAAGCAAAGAGCCCAGCAGGGGGCAGAGCAACCTTCAATAGCCTGCAGCTCCGCCCCTGTCAACCACCTCCACCAAGTCTGGCCTCCTTAATGAGAGCATTCAACGCACACACACCCAACTTGGTTGCTTCACTACATCGGCTACTGCTGCAAGTAATGACAGTGTGAATAAATTGTCAATATTTGCTTGAGATAGTGCTTACAGTTCTGGAGGGACTCTTAATTTTTTGCATCTCATAGACTTAGCATGGGGATTTGGTTAACCAGTTAAAATTCATGAGTAAACCAGGTTTTTTTAAAAAAAATCTGAAACATTTCAGGGGGGGGGGTTGAACCCCTAAAACCACCCCCTCGCTACAGGCCTGCTGGGATTTATTTATCTTTTTTGGATCATAACTCTCGAAATTGCCTAGATTTAACTGGTGGGACCAGGAATACAGAAAAGCTAGGTGATTATTTTGGCTGCTTGAAAATGACAGAGTGGGTTTCTCTCTCTCCCTTCTCCCCCCTCCCTCCCCCCTCCTTTTCCCCCAAGGTTTTTCCTCTCAGTTGTGAAATGTTCCTTTGGACTATTTCAGTCTAGAAAGATGGCCTCAGGGTATGCAATAAGCTCTGTGTAGTGATGCTTTCCCAGGTAACATGTGGTATGTTTTCCTCAGGCAGTTTCAAATTGATTTTCCTGACTCTCTCAGAGAGAAACCAGACATGCCTCACAACTTTTAACCCAGGGCTTCAACCTGGAACATATGAGGAAAGAGTCCTTTGAGTGAAATAATCCTGAACAGGAGCAAGAATATTTTCTTCAAGACAAGTCTTGACATGCAGCAGGACAAAGTGGCCTGTTTCTGGTAGACCCTGAGATAGGAAATCGATAAGAAGAGGTATTGTATCTGAATGGTGCAGTAAGAACTGTTTCTAAAATAATGGCTGTAAGGCTCTTTGGGTTCCAACTATAAGAAGAAATTACATCTGGGACCACCGTTATAATTGTCCATCTATTGAGAGAGGACAAACTAGGGAAGAATTAGTGGCTAAGCCACCAGGTATTTTCTAAATGTAAGATAGAACACAGAACTGTAAAGGTGCAAGAGACCAGCTAGAGCAGCGTTCCTCAACCTGGAGGTCGGGACCCCTGGGGGGGGGATCGTAAGTGGGTGTCAGAGGGGTCACCAAAGACCATCAGAAAACAAAGCATTTTCTGTTGGTCATGGGGGTTCTATGTGGGAAGTTTGGCTAATACTATTGTTGGTGGGGTTCAGAATGCTCTTTGATTGTAGGTGAACTATAAATCCCAGCAACTACAACACCCAAATATCAAGGTTTATTTTCCCCCAACTTCACCAGTGTTTACATTTGGACATACTGAGTATTTGTGCCAATTTTGGTCCAGATCTATCATTGTTTGAGTCCACAGTGCTCTCTGAATGTAGGTAAACTACAACTCTAAAACTCAAGGTGAATGCCCACCAAACCCTTCCAGTATTTTCTGTTGGTTATGGTAGTTTTGTGTGACAAGTTTTGGTTCAATTCCATCGTTGATGGAGTTCAGAATGCTCTTTGATTGTAAGTTAACTATAAATCTCAGTAACTACAACTCCCAAATGACAAAAATCAATCCCCGCAACCCCACCAGTTTTCAAATTTTAGCATATCAGGTATTTGTGCCAAATTTGGTGCAGTGAATACATCTTGCATATCAGATATTTACATGACAATTAATAACAGTACCAAAATTACAGTTATGAAGTAGCAATGAAAATAATTTTATGGTTGGGGGTCACCACAACATGAGGAACTGTATTAGGGGGTTGTGGCATTAGGAAGGTTGAGAAACAGAGCTAAATTCATCTAGTCCAACTATGGCTGATGCAGGAAATCCACATCTAAAGTGCCCCTGAGAATAGCCACCCAACCTCCATCTAAATACTTTTAGTGGTGAGTCCATCACTCTCTGAAGCAGTCTACTCCATTATCAAAGAGCTCTTCGTAGCATCAGCTAATTCTACATAACTTTTCTTGAAATTTATTGCAATCTCTTTCTTGTCTTTGGAATCAAATAAGTTTGCAAGTAAGTATTAAATAAGTACCCTCTGGAGTAGAAATGACTCCATGTTAGGGTTTACTTTACAATTTTTTTAAATGACATCTCCCACAATCCCTAATAACTGGCCATGGCAAGTAGAGCTTAAGAGAGTTATAGCCTGAGACATTTAGAACACTGCTTCAACTATGAGTCCCAAACCCAAATGTTGCCATGACTTTTGAAGCACAATAATAGCACTATAACAGTGCAGCATGATAGGGTCCCTCTAGATGTGATTGGATGACAATTTGCTGCACCTCTAGCCAACACAAGCAAAGGTGAGGAATACCTGGAGCTGTAGTTCAACAGCATCTGGATGCTTCACATTGCTCACCCTATAACAGTGAGCTGAGTGGAATGCAGCAAACAAATAACTTTACATTGAGGAAAAGGTGGCACATACCCTGTGAATGATTCCAGCAGAATGAATATACTGCAATTAAAAGAAAGAAAGGGGAGAAAACTGGATTTGATTTTAGTAGACAAATATTGCCCTGATCACATCAATAGTTAATAATCTGCCTGGATAATTCCTGAATAACAGAATATGTTTCTATTTCTTGCTTCCCCCGTACAACCTGCATGGGAAGTACCTTGCCTACAGCCAGCAGTTTTGAGAAAACTGAAGTATTTTGCATAATTCTGCCAAGAGAAAAAGTGAAATAAACAATCCAGAGATATGCTAGGCTTCTTCAAAGCAGGAGCAGCTGGTGGCTTCCATGTCATTCTGGGATTTAATCCAAACTTTAAAGGAGCTATCCTACACGCTGAACCTATTTTAGGGGTAGGGCTCCTGATATTACAGCTACCAGCTGCTACTGCTCAAAATGTTTTTTCAGCAAGTACAGCAATGACAAGCTGTTTTGAACTCAGGGAAGTTACACAGTCAACACAGTCTCCCTTCTCTGTTTTGGCTTATTTCAATTACTAAAGGCATAACTAAATGAATCTTCTCCAGATTTGTTGGGTGCCCATCAAACATGTTGGCTGTGACTCTGGGAGTTGTAACCCAACCCATATGGAAAGCATCTAAGAAGGCTATCAATTTATGCACTCAAACTAACAAGCAAACACATAAGCTTATGTGTGATAAAGATGGAAATGTACAAGCTGTTCTCCTACTTCTTGGAGAATCTACTAAAATATGTTGCCCTCGCAAGGAAACAAAAAGAAAAAAAGCAATTTCTTCAGCAATATCTGGCAGAATAAATTTCTTCCATTTCCTGAAGGTCACTTACCTTCAGACCTTTCAACACCTGGTAAATCAGGTACTGGATCTTTTCCTCACTGAACTGATGTCCCATTATCTTCTGTAAATCTGTTCGCATGTAAGGCATCACCAAATAGCTGAAAGGTGACAAGACAGTCCCTTGAGTCTTAGACAAAGATGTAGGGTTTCATATCATCATATTCTTGGTAGCTTATTAAGAGAATAAGCAACACTTTCACTGAAATAAAAAAGCTCTATTTTATGAAGAATCCACTTGATATGGGTTTTTTTGTGATCAGGATGTATCCCACTGCACTGTGCAGTGATGATCTGGCTTTTGCTCCCTTTTGGTTATATTTTTGGTGTTCTTTTGCAAGATACCCCATCAAAAATACACTTTTTGGTCCTCTAGTCCAGTGTTCTCAACCTGTGGGTCACCAGGTGTTTGGGCCTACAATTTCCAGAAATCCCAGCCAGTTTACCAGCTGTTAGGATTTCTGGGAGTTGAAGGCCAAAACATCTGGGGACCCACAGGTTAAGAGCCACTGTACTAGTAATTAAATGGTTAAAGTTGTAATTCTATTCAAGTAAAACCACTTTTCATAATTTGAGAAGAATCCTACAATTAGTCTAAGTCCAATTGCTAGTCCCAACTAGAGATTCAATGAACCATTGTGGATTTACATGTGTTGACATGCTTTTCAGCAATTCATTCAATTATTCATGCGGTCCAAGGCACTCTCAGAATTTTCCTCAAACACCACAGTTCAAAAGCATCTATCTTCCTTTGCTAAGCCATCCTTATGGTCCAGCTCTTGCATCCATAGGTTACTGCAGGGAATATCATTGCTTTAACTATGCAGATCTTCATTGCCATTGTGATGCCTCTACTATTTTATCGAGATTGCTCTCCTTCCAAGAAGTAAATGTCTTCTGATTTCCTGGTTGCAGTCTGTATCTGCAGTAATCTTCGTACTTAGAAATACAAAGTCTGTCATGGCCTCCACATTTTCTCCCCCTGTTTGCCAGTTATCAATCAGTATGGTTGCCATAATCTTGGTTTTTTATGTTTAACTGCACCCCAGCTTTTGCACATTCTTCTTTCACTTTGGTTATAAGACTCCTCAGTTCCTCCTCACTTTCAGCCATCAAAAAGGTATCATCTGCATATCTAAGGTTGCTAATGTTTCTTCCAGCAATTTGAACTCCATCCTTGGGTTCATCAAGCCCTGCAGTTCGCATGAAATTTACCTCCAATGTTTCTAATTTTCTGGAAGAGGTCTCTTGTCCTTCCTATTCTGCTGTCTTCTTCCACTTACATGCATTGCTTGTTTTAAAATAGTTCCTTATCTCTTCTGGCTAACTTCTGAAATTGTGCATTTAATTGGGTATATCTCCCCATCATTGCATCCCTTTGCTCCTGACTGTCAGCTCTAGCTTCTCATCCGGGGGCATGAAAGAAGCCTATCACATGATGGTAAAACATCCAGATGTCCCCTGGGCAATGTTCTTGCAGACGGACAATTCTCTCACACCAGAAGCAGCTGGCAGTTTCTTAAGTCACTTCTGACACACACAAAAAATCAACACACACAGCATTGACCTAATGTCAAATCTCCTTAAAACTCTTAGGACATAAAAAATATTCCAAAAAAACCTGGACAACATGAAAAGGAAGTATATCCTTATGTCCAAATGGGCAGAATCCAGTGCTGGCAGAACAACAGAATCCAGGAAAAATAGAGAAAGACAAGTCTTTTCTTCTCATTGCAGCCCCCTTGCTCTCTCCCCCCTCCCCCCTCAGAAGTGACCCAGAGGATTATGGAAGTTTCCAGAGCTGGTTTTCCTGTAGCTCTGAGAATTGAAAGGGAAGAGTGTAATTTTATTTATGTACAAAGGGCAGTGTCACTATCAAATTGAATTTAAGACTGTGGTCCCAGTTGAAAAACCATGGACGCTTTTCTGTTTTTAAACTCATGGATACTTTAAAAAAGAAAGAAAGATGTAATCTCTCTAGAGTTTCGTGTAGTTTGACCTACCAACCTCCTTTTTAAAAGATTACAGCTAAGATTCCCCACGATGTTCAATTCTTCACAGATCATTTGCCTTTGAAATTTTAATGAAAGATCTACGCATACCTGCCAGGATACATCAGTCATTGTACATGCTGCTGCTATGAAAAATAACATCTGTTTGGCATGTAAGTGTTGACATTATGCAATCACAATGAACACATACACTTTAGAAATAAACTCTGCAGTAAAAACTTAGATTGTTTTAAGGGACAAAATTGCAAACTTACAAATCCTGGAATCCTTCGAAGGAAGTAGCTGATGTGAAAACATCAAGTAACCCAATGACCTGTGGAAGAGATGGATGTATATTTTTAAGATTATGAAGAAAATGTGCAGTCCTTTCCCACCCTATAAATAGCCCCTCAGAAACTCCAGAAGCTGAGTCATATTACTACTTGAAGGTTTTCCAAGAAATAAGATGACAGTACTCATATTTGACACTACCCAAACAAACTTCAAATCCATGGACTAATTGAAATATTAGAAAAAGTATCAGTATGGTGTAGTGACCTGAGCATTGGATTCTAGGATTCTGAAAAATCAGGATTCAAATCTCCTACTCAGCCATGGAAACCTACAGATGGTTTATCTATATGTTGGGCCCATGGTGGCATAGTGTGTTAAAGCTGAACTTGCTGACCGAAAGGTTGGCAGTTGAAATCCAGGGATTGGGTGAGCTCCCACTGTTAGCCCCAGCTTCTGCCAACCTAGCAGTTTAAAAACATGCAAATGTGAGTAGCTCAATAGGTACTGTTTCTGCAGGAAGGGAACAGTGCTCCATGTAGTCATGCTGGCCACATGATCTTGGAGGTGTCTATGGACAATGCCAGCTCTTCAGCTTAGAAATGGAGATGTCACCACCCCCCAGATTTGGACACGACTAGACTTAATGTCAGAGGAAACCTTTACCTTTACCTCTCTATGTGTTTATATTCTGAATAAATCTTGCCAAGAGAACCCCCTCAAAGGCTCACCATAAGATAGGGTTCATCTGAAGGCACATAACAACAGCAACAACAGCAAATTGTAAGGAAGTCATTACTCACATTCTCATGTTGCATGTGCTTCAGCAGTGTGAGTTCTCGATAGGCTCGCTTAGCAAAGATCTCCGACTGAAATGGGCGGCAGAGCTTCTTGATAGCCACTTTCTCCCCTGTTTTCTTGTCTATTGATGAACTGTGAGAAGAGGAAGGGACATTCAAAAGCAAATTCAGCTGGGGCATGCTCCTGTGCAGTTGAATATCAGGTATCTCTACTGGGAAGTAAATCCATCGTTTGTTCTGATAAGTGGATGTTCAGAACTCTGGCATTCAATTGATCCTACTTTTGTGACTGGCATGAAAAGGTCTGATGGCTACTGTTTGATCTTTCAGCCAGGTTCAACAATTCCTTGGGTTTCTCTCAGGCTACTGCAGTGAACTATGATGTCACTTATATTCTTCCTGAAAGTATCTCTTTCCATCTTAAGAAACGACATCTGCTTCCTCCACTAAGGAGGACATCTTCATTTTCTTCTTTCGATCTCATCTAATCTCATAGGAAGATGTCTTTGTTCTTGTTGTTGTTCTTGTTGTTGTGTGCCTTCAAGTCATTGCTGACTAATGACAATGCTAAAACCAACCTATCATGATGTTTTCTTTGTGTCATATTTTCTCACACTCAGAGGAAAACAAAGGAAACTAGATTTGCTTTAGGGTCACCATAAGTTCAAAGTACACAACAACAACCACAACCATAATTTCTTATGATGCATATCCATGGGAAATCCATTTGTTAACATATTATGTGTAAGGACCCTAGGTTATAAATATAGGGTAATGTGTACAGTACTGATTTGTATGGAAATTTAATGGGACTTCATCCAGTTGAAGAATTGCAACAATGGGGCCAAAGCTGCAATCCATAATACAGAGCAGTGCAAAATACATTAGTCAAATCTTTCACAAATCATTCATCTACCGAGACAACCCTATCAGAGTATTTTCTTGGGAAGATATGTTCAGAGGGGATTGCTTTTGGGTTCCTCTGAGAGTAAGAGAGTTTGACACTCAAGGTCACTCAATGGGGTTCCAAGGCTGAGTGACTTTGGGCAAGTCATGCCCTCTCGGCCTCAGAGGAGGTCACTCATTCATCTTACAATTTGATGATACTAACTTCTATGTAATATCAATGCTTTTTTCAATTCCATATAGGATAAATAGGACCTTTTCTGCAGAAGATAGTAAACGGACATAGATCTGATATCCAATTAAAATTTGTATCTCAGACATTTCAGTCATTTGGGATATTCTGACTAAGATCATATTCTGGCACAGTTCAGCATAGATTACCAAAAGAGTTATGTTCTGCTTCACTACATCATTTATTGGGTAGCAATGTAGCACAAGCGGACTTTGGAAGTTGTTGTGCATGGCGCAACAGGGCCTTCTCAGTGGTGGCCCCTTGGCTATGGCATGCCCTCCCTAGGGATATCTGATCGCCCCCCTCCCTTCTAACATTCCCGAGGAAAGTCAAGACTTGGCTTTGTGAGCAAGCATTTGCAAGTACAGTGTAACTGACATAGGAAAATGGAACGATTAGACGATGTGATTGGCCAATGTTTTCTGCAAGGAGATGCTAATGATATATGTTTGTTACTGACTTTGCTATGGTTTTATAATATTTTAATGGTATTTTATCGTCTTTGTACCAACTGTGAACCACTCCGAGTCACCTGCGGGCTGAGAGGGACGGTATATAAATATAGTAAATAAATAAATAAATAAATGGCTTCTGTCATATTCTATGCTTGTAATTTTATCTGCACATTTCTCTTTGAATGTTAGTATATAACTGCAAGTGCATTGTGTAGCGATGCTGCATGAGAACTCCACGTCTGGATACAATTGTTGTGCACTGTCTACAAAAGGCATCCTCCATAGTAGAGTGGTTACAGTATTGGACTATGACTCTAGACTAGGGCTCAAATCCCCACCTTAAAGTGGCCCTGTGGAGCAGAAGTCTCAAAAAAAAGATTAGAGCAAGACAATGGTGAAAATTAGCAGTAAAATATATTACAAATATTACTTGCTTTGTTTTTTATTGCCCATTTTAACTTATTGACAGCTCTGTAAACCATTTAGGACTTTAAGGTCCCCTCAAGGCAGTATGCAAATATGATGATGATGATGACAATGATGATGATGATGATGATTACATCATCATTGTCATCATCAACAATGTATTTGTATAATACAATAAGAAGAATACGAAAATAACATCACATTCTTAAGCTATGTATACAAACAACTCTGAAATGAACAGTTCTACAAACCCACAGATGAGCAATTATATGCAGACTGATTTTTTTAAGTCTTCAATTATTTCTTTTAAACTTATGACAGAGCTGCAAGCAACTATGTGATGTGTGGAGTGAAATTCATACATTCACACCTATCATTGAAATGGAGTTCAGCATTAATGAATGCCTTTAAGCAAGCTGTAATAATGCATTAAATGTTTTCATGACTATGCAGTCCTAGGAATCTTCCTATGACCATCCTGTTGCTGCAAATATTACACTATGCATTGCTCAGAGCAAGTCAATACATGATTAATACTTCAAAAAGGATGTCACATGTCTCTTGCTCTCAGCATACAGAAATCATGACAGTATGAGTCAACCCTTAGTTATATTTCTCTTAGAAGCCAACACAACACAAAGTAAACCAATTTGTTTAATCTATCACTTATGTTCCAGCATTGACTGATTTGCTTCTGATGTTCCAAACTTTTCTGGTAGCTATGTGTTTCAGTAGTAGGTGAACAACAAAAATATGGGGAGGAGCCATCATGTTTTAATTTATTGCAGTTGGATCTCAACTGGGGTGATACTTCAGATTGTCATGGAGCTAAGCCTCCAGTGATCTGCTCTTCCACACAGTTATACAAGACACAAGATTTCTGTCCACAGCAATCCCCTCTATTCATGCATACAGGTTTCATATTGGTAGATTAATTTGGAGCATTCTAGAGCTGATATTTTTTTCAGAGATAGCTCCATTGTTGGGCACTCAAAAGATGTGGTCCCCCCTTCTTCCCAATTCAGATCCAATTGTTTTATAGTAGTTGGATATCTAAAGTGGTGAGACATCTGACATGGTGCAGGTGAGATGTGATCTCTAGAAGAACAAGGTAGAGCTAAGCAACCTAACTCTGGACAGCTCCAAGATTTTGTGTTTCAAGGGACAAAGTTTAGCCAATGAAACCAGAGCTTTATGACCTCATCACACAGGCTTTATTGCCTGTTCTACGACAGTTTCACCTCACTTCAGACACGGAGCCCACCAGATCCCATCACATGACGTAGACCCACTTCCAGTGAGGCTCCACACTAGAAGTGAGGTGTAACTGTTGCAAGAGGCAACACCAGGAACATGGGAAGTTTCTCATGTTCCATTGAGAAGTTGCAATGGAAGCAAAATAATATACAGTAAGCCTTTGTATCAAAAGGACCAAGCCCAGACCCATCTATGCAAGAAAGGGGTTGTATGAAGAAATAAGGTGGGGGTGGGGAAGAAATAAGTGGTCCCAATTAAGTTGAAGCCAATGCCATAGAAAAACTGGTGGATAGCAGGGAACAAAAGAGATGAAACTGGTATCAATCTCCTGGAAGTTGACCATAAAATCATGTTGGAGGACTTACAAATGCCTAGTGAAGTGTTGTCTCTAGGTCTTCAGCTATGACGTTGGGCAGAAGTTGACCACAGAGTTGCACGTACAGGCCCTAAGCATTCTTAGAGATAATGTGCTAATCTAATCCACAAATAATCAAATCTGCATACATAAATATTTATAAATGTGTGTGTGCAAATTAACTAAATTGGACCCTTCTCACAAACTGTGGTTAGTTATTGGTATCCTCTGAGATTTGGGTCCAGGGCCCCCTGGAGATACCAACATCTGTGGATGCACAATTCCCATTATATACAGCAACATAATAAAATAGTGTCCCTTATATAAAGTGGCAAAATCAAGGATTTTAGAATATGTGTGTGTGTGAATATATATATTTGAAGCAATGGATGGTTTAATCTGTGGGTGCAAAATTCATGGATACAAAGGGGCAATGTTATATTGTTATATACCTTGAGTTCAAGGTAGTTTACTCTCAAGCAAGTGGTCTAGAACTTTAACTTTAATGTTTTAGAAGTGGGGTCTGCTACTTTCACACCACAGTAAAAAATAGTAACTGGCCATCTCTTCTCCATTTCCTCCTTGTGATATAAGCAGTCAAGAGGCCTGGAGATCTCTGGAGAGATCACTCCTCATCAGCTTTGGCCACAATGCTTTTGTGATCTTGCTTGGATTCTCTTTAGCCAGCCGCCTCTGAGTGTGAGCTCAGCTTCAGAGTGGCTGCAGACAGCAACAGAATCATAGTTATAAGACTGTACCACTGAATAATCCTCAGTCTGGCATACAGCAGAACACGAATTGTTGCTCTCCCTTATATGGGCAGAAATCCTCCTAAATGGCTTTAGGAAATTGCTGTAGAAGACGTAAAATAGCTCCATCAGCAAGATTCTGAATATTTTCAGAGTAATTTTTCTTTCTGTTCTAGAGGCATGGGCCAACACACTACATTCAGGTTGTGGAACATAAATCGCTGCATGTGCAGTTATCCATTGATTGTGTTACACAACTCTGATACTGTATGTCAGCATTGTACAACCTATGGCACAACCCAACGTATAATGGCATCACTTTGCTAACATCTTAAATTGAATGCAGAAAATCTGTATTAAATAAAAATGTATGCATGCACGTGCACTTTATGCATATGTAAGATACCATCTTATGAAGGGAACATATGCATGAACAGGACACTAAAGGCATTCCAGCCATGAAATGTAAACATGCTGCGCCTGATGTCAAATATAAAATATAAATTTAAGTAATGACAGGTATTTTAGGTTTGGGTTTTTTTCCCCAGCAGAGGTGGTGGAAAAATAAATAAACACAGCAATATAGGGGGAAAGTAAAATTAATTCAGCATGCCACCTCTCCAAGTCACATGGATTGGCTATCTTTTGAATTGAACTCAAGAGTGAACCTATGGGATGGGGGAGATGAGACTTCCCTTTAAATGGGAAGTTAATGAAATTTCCTTTCAGTCCCAAAACAGGTACAAATGAGACATATGAAAAATTGAAACCTTTTTCCGAGCACTACTTTTTGAAATACAATTAGATTATTAGTAAATACAAGTCTAATTAAGAACGATGAGATTTAAAAATTAGGTATATGGGAAAAAATAGTGCTAAATTTACACATTAGTTATACAGTATTTCATTTATAGTATTTTAAACTTTTAATACATTGATTGGTATGTGAAACCACTTGTTTCTAAGGTTGTCACTTTAGGATTGTGCCAGACCTTAAAGCTTCCAGGCCAAAACCTATGATCCAGGAAAACTAAATTCATAGTATCCCGCCCCTCAAATCTTTGGAAGTTGCAGCAACAAATCAGTGAAACCTTGCAAATTATAGAAAATTGCTGCTGGAGATTTGCCCACAGTTCTTTCCTCTTGCCTGGATCACAGCCCATCAAAACTGAAGGATTTGTACCTTGTCCTCTGGATGGAGTTGGTACACGAAAAGTGGAGACTCAGATTGGGCCCTGATATATGTTGTTGTTGTTGTTGTTTATTCATTCAGTCACTTCCGACTCCTCGTGACCTCATGGACCAGCACACGCCAGAGCTCCTTGTCAGCCATCACCACCCCCAGCTCCTTCAGAGTCAAGCCAGCCACTTCAAGGATACCATCCATCCATCTTGTCCTTGGTCAGCCCCCTCTTCCTTTTTCCTTCTATTTTCCCCAGCATCACTGTCTTCTCTAAGCTTTCCTGTCTTCTCATTATGTGGCCAAAATACTTCATCTTTGTCCTTCCCTCCAATGATCAGTCGGGCTTTATTTCCTGAAGTATGGACTGGTTGGATCTTCTCATGGTCCAAGGCACTCTCAGAATTTTTCTCCAGCACCACAGTTCAAAAGTGGGGTTACCTGATATATGGCAATCCCACTTTCCTATCTGTATATATTACAATTATGTGAAACTGTTAAAAATGGATTTGTGTTTAAGATTGTGTTTGTATGTATAGTTGTCCCTCCACATTTGCAGGGTTAACTTTTGTCAATTTGATAATTTACACCAGGGGTCCTCAAACTAAGGCCCGAGGGCCCGATACGGCCCCCCAAGGTCATTTACCCGGCCCTCACTCAGGGTCAACCTAAGTCTGCAATGACTTGAGAGCACACAACAACAACAATCCTATCTCATCAGCCAAAAGCAGGCCCACGATTCCCAGTAAAATACTAATAAGTTTATATTTGTTAAAATTGTTCTTCATTTTAATTATTGTATTGTTTTTAAGTGTTTTTTTGCACCTCGAATAAGATATGTGCAGTTTACATAGGAATTCATCCATATTTTTTTCAAATTATAATCCGGCCCTTCAACAGTTTGAGGGACTGTGACCTGGCCCTCTGTTTAAAAAGTTTGGGGACCCCTGATTTACACCTTTGAATAACATGATCTCTCAAGGAATCTCAAGTCTGTGTCTTCTACTGAACATCCTCTTGAAATTGAATCATACCGGAAGACCTAAAGATTGCTACAGAACACTTGAAAAAAAAATCATTTAAAAAAAATAAAGCTTTTTTTAGCCTGAGGGAACTTTTCTAGGAAACATTAGGTCCTCCAGCATGACTTTATAGTCAACTTCTGCTAGAGGTGGACCATAGAATTAGACAAGTGGATCTAAAGAATCCTAGACAGGTGTTCTCTCTAAGAACCTCTAGGTCCTCCATAGTAACCATATGGTCAACTTGCTGCAGAAACTGTCCATAGGGTCACATGAGAAGACCTTGAGATTTATAGAGATAACATTTTCATCAATGAATAATCAAATCCACAAAAATCAAACTTGCAAATGAAGAGAGCTGATTGTACAGTTTTATGCATTCAGGCCAGTGGAATGTCATAGGGCTATTTCACACATTAGTTAAAGATTTGCAGTGGCTTAGGAGTTGCATCCACATCTCTAAGTATGTACTTTTTTGGGGATATTTTATGATTTCAAAGCTTTCAGATATACGTATTATTATATTTTTCTTTTAAGTTTGTAAGTTCATGTGTCAAACATCTGTTGTATCAACTCTCACACAAGATATAATTGGAGTGGGTGAGTCTACCTTTATGATTCAAAGTTGCCAGCTTCATCCTGCTGGAGTTTCTTGGTAATGTGTGAAAACATCCTGAAATAATAAACATTCCAGTTTCTTGGAATCTTTCTTAAACTGAACCATTGGGAAAGCTGTTTCTCCTCACTGGAATATATGCTGTCTGCTTACATATCTGTCATCAGCAGAAAGCCATTCCAAGACTTTTTATGCCTGAGCCTGAGGGCAGATCTACATAGACCAGCTATCCCCAGCAGATCTGGTTGGTGTACATCAATTCGACCCTTTACACAGCCACACCATCACCACCACCAGCTGCTGTGGGAGTGGGAGGGTGCCTCAACCACCCTGTGGCAGCAAACTCAGTCTTGTGCTGCTGGATGACCCTTCTTACCATCTCCTGATGTTCTCCCTGTCACAGCAATTAGCTGGGGTGACAAGAGAGGGAGGAAAGGAGGAATTGCTCCCTCCTGTCTCCCCTCCTTTCCCCAAATGCCCCATCATCATATTATGCCCAAAGACTTCCACCAGATGGAGAATGGAAGGGGATGGTAAGTGCTATCCCATGTCCCCAGGTAACCTGAGTCTGGGAAACATGATTTATATGGGTCAAAAGTCACGGATTATTCCAAATTCCAGGCCAGGATTCAGACCATCCTGCAACTTTTGTTAATGCAGGTCAAGGCTGAATTAAAGTGGCCCTGCCTGGCATTACCCTAAATCAGCCAAGAGTGTAGTTTGGCCACCACTGAGCTGATTCAGAAACACTTCACAGTTATGGGTCAAAATAGATGTGCCAAAATAGCAAAATGACACTCCTACATCGGTTCAAGATAAGAGACATACAAATTATTTCAGAACATGTGTTAGAAAATCTAACAATGCCCCTACCCCATTCTTGGCAACAAAAATATAAAAATAAAGTAAATAAATGTCAATTTGCTTTGCTATCATAATGCAGTAATTACTACCTGAAGCAGCCACCTTAGTCTGCATAATAATAGGGCCAGCCCTCCAATATCAACAATACCCAAAATGTTTTTCTCTTCTCTAGAAACAAACAACCCAGGCCCATGCTTCACTGTTTACAAATCTAGGCACTGAAACTTGACCTCATAAGAAGTGCGCCAAGAGAAATTGATTCCAGTCCTGGAAAGCTCAGTACAGCAGACGGGTTGATGCTTAGACACTGCAGGCCAAAGCCAGGAGGAAATGAAATGTCTTTGTCAAAACACCAACCTTTTCCCTTAAAGGTAAGAGAGAAATCCCCAATAACTCTTCCCAATAATTCAGGCTTGCAGTATCGTGTACCTGTCTTTATGTGCCACCCAATTTGGCAACCTGAGATACATGAAGTCACTCACCAGACCGATCCATAAGCTCCAGATCCCACAGAGACAATGGAAGTGTATCGCCTAGGAAGTTCCCAGACGATCTTGTTTACTTCCTGCTTGTAGAAGCCCCTTCTCCTGGAGAAGCTCATGTTCTGGTGTGTCTGGAGTTGACCTCTCCAGCACCCAGGGCTCCAGAAGGAATCAGGACTCAATCCACTCCCCCGCAACTCAGTTTTCCCTAGGAAAGTCAGTAGTTGTTGGTTTCCTCTCCAGCTGCCTTGTGTTCAGTGACACACATCCCTCCTCCCTCTGCCCACACATCACACCAGGAAGGAAGCATCAGGTTGCACATTATGAAGACACTCCTCCCCCAGGTGCTTTCAAAGGACTCACCTTTCTGTGTAAGGCAGCCACTGGGAGCAGTTGTGAGCCCTGATTCATTTAACCATTCTCTTCCGACTTCCTTGGTTCCAGGTCTCAATAAGCTAGCTTTTAAAAAGAGAACGCAGCATAGATTGCATGTCTTCCTTTGAAAATTCTGAATGAAACTAAATGGACAGGGTTTGAAAAATCACATATTGTGTCTGTTTATTACGCATTGTCCTTCAGTAACTTAGTGGCAAGGAGGTTTGATAAAATGTATTATGAAGATTGATACCAACAACTTTGAGCACCTTAGTTGAAAAATTACCGGAAATGTTCCAAAACATCTTTGATTTTGAATTTTAGTTTTTGCATTTTATAAAATATCCTTAGAAATACTTGTCTGAGATGATAAAATATATCTTAAGCAGGAACAACTACACTATAGAATTAATGCAGTTTGACACCATTTTAACAGCAATAATTCATGCTATGGTATCATGGAACTTGTAGTTTTACAAGGTCGTTAGCCTTCTCTGCCAAAGAGTGCTGGTGCCTCACAAAACTACAAATTCCATGGTGGACTATGGTTTTTGGAAAACAATTTGGACATGAGATCTTGACTCGGCATTTTATATGTGGTTTTAAAACTGTTTTGATAGATTGTTATGAATTTTAATTGCATATATGTGTAGATTGTTTATATTTTTATAAGATGTGTTTTATTTTTTACCTGTGCAACATTGAATTTTTGCCAGATTTGTAAGCCGCCTTGAATCCCCTCTCAGGTTGAGAAAGGCAGGCTAGAAATGAAGTAAATACCTAGGTTATCCCTCATTGTCCAAGTAAGATTGTCCCCCAAGTGCAGTGGGTTGTCCTGGCAGTGGGTTCGTAGGCGACTGTGGATCCCTGTTCTTGACCCGCATGTTCTCCTGCAGTGGGGGCATCAGTTTCCAGGTGGAAGGCGGTCCTGGTTGGGGTTGGCTTGACGCACCTTCCTCTTGGCACATTCCTCTTTCGCCCTCCATTCGTGCCTTTCCAAATTCTACAGCACTGCTGATCACAGCTGACCTCCAGCTAGAGTGCTCAAGGACCAGGGCTTTCCAGTTCTCGGTGTCTATGCCAGAGTTTTTAAGGTTGGCTTTGAGCCCATCTTGAAATCTCTTTTAATGTCCTCCAGCATTCCATTTTCCATTCTTGAGTTTGGAGTAGAGCAACTGCTTTGGGAGACGGTGATCGGGCATTCAGACAACGTGGCCAGTCCAGCAGAGTTGATGGCGGAGGACCATCACTTCAGTGCTGGTGGTCTTTGCTTCTTCCAGCATGCTGACATTTGTCCGCCTGTCTTCCCAAGAAATTTGCAGGATTTTTCAGAGGCAATGCTGATGGAAACGTTCCACAAGTTGCATGTGACATCTGTAGATAGTCCATGTTTTGCAGACATATAGCAGGGTTGGGAGGACTATAGCTTTATAAACAAGTACCTTGGTATCCCTACGGATATCCCAGCTCTCAAACACTATGTGCTTCATTTGGGAAAATGCTGCACTTAATGATTCCATAGCATTAAGCCACGGCAGTTAAAGTAGTGTCAAACTGCATTAAATGTACAGTGTAGACACACCCTTAGATTTGCATCTTGATTGTTGCAATCTTATTTTTTGTCTTTTCATATTATCTCTCCTTTATACTTCCTTCCTTTCAATATTATACTCTTTTTGACCCCTCATTATGATCATGTTACCTCCACTTTGGATATTTCTTCATTGATCACCCATGCCTTCTAGGATTCTAGCTTCTTGTTTTAATGCTCAAAGTCTCACGCAACCTAGATCCCAATATCTTTCAGACCTTATTTCTTTTTACCAGCCTCTTGATATCTATATTCTAGGGATTCTTGACTTCTCACATTTGACTTGGCTTCGTCCTTTCTCACTCTATTTCTTACTCTTGGGATTATTATTTTTTTTGTTGTGTCAGGAGCAACTTGAGAGAATTGGTGTGAGAGAATTGGCCGTCTGCAAGGACATTGCCCAGGGGACGCCTGGATGATTTGATGTTTTTATCATCCTTGTGGGAGGCTTCTCTCATGTCCCCGCATGAGGAGCTGGAGCTGATAGAGAGAGCTCATCCGCCTCTCCCCGGATTCGAACCTGCGACCTGTCGGTCTTCGGTCCTGCCGGCATAGGGGTTTAACCCACTGCGCCACCGGGGGCTCCTTGGGATTATCTCCCTGAACATATTTCTTTTGTTATTGTTAAACCTCCCTTGAATATGTTTTTGTTTTCAAAAGCTCTTGGAATTCTAGTTTGATATTATTTGGTAATCTTGTATATTTTGATTGCATTTATAGGCTAGCCTGCTTTGTATTATAATAGGGATTTTTTGGTGATTTGGATAATTTGTTTTCCAATTGCCTTGTAGTTGTATACTATATAATCCCTTCCCTCTTTGTATGTGTGTGTGTGTGTGTGCAAAATCCCTTGGAAAACAAACATTTCCAATAAAACTCCATGATAGGTTTGCTCTAGGGTCACCATTAGTCAGAAATTACTTGAAGTCATACAACAACAACAACAACAACAACAACAACAACAACAATCATCACTACCACCATGACTTCATGCATGGCACATTACTGTGTTCATTTGCATGCATTTTGCATATAACACAGAGTGTCAGCTTGGTGTAGTGATTTGAATCTTTGACTGACACGTGGAGATGAAGGTTCAATCACTTTGAGTATTTGATTAGTAGGACATTTAGATATAAGGTTCAAATCCTTTTGAGTGTTTAAGCAGGACACTTGAGGATGACATTTCAAATTCCTTTGAGTGTTTGACTAGGATATTTGAAGAGAAAGGGTCAAATCTCTATGCAGCCATGAAAGCCCACTTGGTGATTTTGGAAAAGTCGTGCTCTCAGCCTCAGATGATAAGGCAGTAACAACCTCCTTAAATATATCTGTAATAGGATTGTATTGAGAGTTGTGCTTGAAGGCATTTCCTAACAAACATAAATCTATATAAGACAAACAGGCTGGGATCTGTGTCAAGATGCACAACTTGGGAAGGGGCAACTTAGTCCCTAAAATTAATTAATTATACATTTATTTATTGTTTCTTGACACATCAGACTGGCCGAAGCAATGAAGAATTAACTACAAGATCTTCCAGAGCCATATATAGCCATGCTGTATCATCATCTCACATTTTACTTTTTAAGAGTATGACCTTCCAAATTCACCCAGTGGGGATTCAAACTATGACCTCTAGTATCTTTGTCCAACACTCAAACCACTACACCATGGCGACTTTCTATTATTAATAACTGGGAACATTTATTTAATAACTAGCCATTTATTTATTTATTTATTTATTTATTTACTTTGCTTATATACCGCTGTATCTCAAGCCCGAAGGCGACTCACGGCGGTTCACAAACAGTAAAAACAGTAGAAACAGCAGTGGTTCCATACAACATATAACAATTGACTTAACACATTATCCATAAATTACCCCTGCCACGCGTTGCTGTGGCCCAGTCTGTGTATGTGTTTCGTGTGTGTATATATGTATGTGTGTATATTTGTGTATATGTGTATATATGTGTTTTTCTGTGTGTGTGTGTGCGTGTGTGTATATATGTGTGTGTGTGTGTGTGTGTGTGTGTGTGTGTGTGTGTGTGTATATATATATATATATATATATATATATATATATATATATATGGTTATGCACATGCATTGTAATGTATTTTTCTATTTTCTGTGTTTTCAAGTGTTTTTATGAGTGATGGTCACTTATTGGCCTGATAGGTATATTGTGTCCAAATTTGGTGTCAATTCACCCAGTGTTTTTGAGGTATGTTAATCCCACAAACGAACATTGCATTTTTATTTATATAGATTAACTTAACAGAACTTTTGTCTGGGTTTTGTAGTGTTAAGAAGGAGTTTTGGAGACCTATAGGCTACCTTAAGCAAGATTTTCCAGGATCAATGCTGACATTGCGTGGACCTCCGTACATAAGCAAACAGGCTCAACATGTCATTTTTGTGCATTACATTAGCTTGAAATGCTCACAGTTGTATCAGAATGGTAACTGATGGGTTTAAACACCAAGGACCACATAAGAACAGATATTAAATTTCCTTTTAAAAGGCTATAGCAATGAGCTTCTGCTATTTTCCTCTGGTAATCCTCTTAGATGACTCTTGTAGTTCTGGATCGTGTCTTCTTTAACAAGTCAGGGAGTGTATAAATAAATACCAGGAGTACCAGGCAGGAGATAAGAACAAAAAACAAATAATGAAAATACACCCAACTAGCAGGTAGATTTTGAACTATAGTAACCTAGAGCTACAAATCATACCCAGGCTGAAGATTTGAGTATAGTAATATGTACCAACTTATATCCCCATACTGTTGGAGACGCATGAAGAAAACCACCAGTCAGTCAGAAGGGGGGTGAAGAAGTGATCTCAAAGTTTATTGATCAGCCAAGCTGCTTATATATCTTTTCTTGTGCTCTTTGCAAAGCTTGCATAGTAACAGTGAGTTGGATTACATCATTGGCAGAGTGATTGGCTAGAGGTGACCTCATCCTAAGGTGAGGTAGCCTACAACCTACTATCAGTCCCAGGTCATGATGCCCCCTGCATCCCCTTGCCAATAAGCTGTGAAACATAGGTGTCAGAGGACTGGAATCTGCCATGTCCCTTCGGAGGTATGGTTTGCCAGTCCCCCCTAGTGGTCCATTGCCATTCCTGCACCTCTGCACCAAGGACACAATAGTGTCTCCCCTATATAAGGGATACTAATAATGATAATGTCCCTTCATCCCCCCTTTTCGTTTTTCAACAATTTGTATGCATAAAGGACATCACGCCTGGGAGGGGGTTGTAGGGGCCGTGGCTTATAAATATGCCACAGGGATGGGATGTATTGA